AAGATCTGCTCCTCCTTCTCCAGGCTGATGAAGTTCCCAAACCACGACTTCTTAGCCAGCCTGAGGGAGCATGACACACATACATACACAGACAGACAGACAGACACAGGCAGACACACAAAGAAAAGGTTATAGCGAGGTAAAATGAGTCGGTCCTCTGCGTAGGGCATCTGGGAGGCATGTTCATGAGTGTGTGTGTGTGTGTGTGTGTGTGTGTGTTTGTGTGTGACTTACTCAGGGCTGGACTCTGGGGTCAGGCTGGACATGTCCTCTAATGTGGGTACTGAAAAAACAGGACATTTGTTCATGTAGCTATGTATGCTAATTTTCTCAAACTCAATTTAAATTGTTTAAAATCTATTGCTATGTAGTTACATATATTATGTCTGCGTATTCTAAGTCAATTTATATTCATTTGTTCTATATTGTCAATCGTGTCAAAATTGGGATGTTAACACTGTAAAAAAACAGGCTATGATTTTCCCTTTTCAATGTAAGACTGCAACTTCCTAAAGAAACGCCAAAAGAAAGTGACTTTATTATGACCGTATGACCTTGTAACCTCTCACCCTGCATCTTGCGGCGGTGGAAGCGGGGCGAGCCCAGCAAGTTGTTCTTGAACGAGTTGAGGCGGGTCCTCCAATGGGCTGAGCTGCTAGCTGCCATGCCGCCGCTCCCTCCGGGGCTGGAGGGTGGAGTCAGGGACAGGGAGCCCACCCCTCCACCTCCCTCCGCCCGCGAGGAGGAGGACGAGGAGGAGTTGGAGGGAGGGGTGGAGGAGGGGTGGTGGGGGTGGTGGACGGGGGTGCCCATGGGGGTGGGCAGTGGAGAGCCCTGGGGGGTAACCTGCGACACAGAGTTGGGGTAGAAGCTCTTAGTGACCGATTTGAGCACGGAGGGCGAGGGGAAGAAGAAGAAGCGGGGGATGGGTGAGAGGAGGGGGGAGGGGGAGCGGGAGGGGGAGTTGTGGATGGGGAGGGACTTGATGGGCTGGAGGTGGGGCCGGTTGGCGGCGGGACCGCCCTTGGTGGTGGTGGGCAGGGTTTGGGTTTTGGGGTTCTGGGCTGCTTTGGGTTTGTCGTGGGCTCGGGCCGGCCGAGGCGTGGTAGCACTTCCTAGTTTGGATGGGTCCTTAGTGTGAGGGGTGGCAGAAGTGACGTCTGATTGGCTGAACGTGAAGACAGGGCTCTGATAGGACTAGGGGGAGGGGGGGAATGGAAATGAAGAAGAGAAAGAGGGGGATGGAAAAAATGGGAAAAGAAGGATGGAAATGAGTGTTATGGGTTATGACAAAGGAGTGCTTCTTGAATGATGGTGAAGAAACTGCACTGATGGTGTGAGATATTTGTATAACTGATTGTAAAATCATTAGTTCTGACCCTGCATTCAACCATTTGCGTTCCAACCTCACTCTTTTTTTAGATAACCCAGCACACAAAAATCCCTCCATGTCAGAAACCGTACGGAAGACAAACACTACAAAATGGCGTAAAGCCATTTTATGACTCTGAACTTAGTCTTTCGGTAGTGACTGTAGTAAAATAGGGTTTCTGCTTTTGCTGATACGGATAAAATAAATTGAATCAGTATGTTGACATTTTCATGGTTACAGTGGAACACAACTTCAAAAAAATGTAATAATAATAACTCAAACCAACAATGACTACCAACGATGATCAACATTGTATATCTTACATTTCTGCAACCCAAACATGTTTATAAAAATATGCATGTTTTAAGTTGGACCATATTGTAGAAAGTGTGGTGTAGAAAAAGCAGAAAAATAAGATAAATGCCAAAGAAACTCCAAATGCGTGAGAATTATTCTGATAATGTGGTATGACATGTAAAATGGCTCAGAATGACCAAGGAGCTTGAGTGAGATGGACAATCTCAGAGGAAACGTTAAAGCAACATTAACGCAATGTTAAAAGACAATCTGACATATACTGTATATGAAAAGACAGTTCAGAGTCAACGTTGTATACTTTATAATTTCAGAGTGGATGTTAAAAGTGTTGGCCAACAAGCCTCTTACCCTGGGACTGCTGAGAGGGCTGGAGGAGAGGCCGGTGGACGCCCCACTGACTGATCGAGACCTGTAGAGGGGTCACAAGAGGTCATATGGTTAAAGGTCATCATCATAAAGGTGAAGAATATTCCACCATCAAGTAAAATGTGACAAATAAAATGACAATATTTGTACTGGTTTATTATAATGTATACTGTGTGTATTATTTTTGGCTAGCAAAATGTTTTTGGCTAGTAAGAATGTAATATGTGTGTGTGTGTGTGTGTGTGCATGTGTGCCTGTCTGTCTATGTGAGTGTGTGCCTGCATTTGCTATTTTTTGTGTGTTTGTGTTTCTGGACCATGTGTGTGACACCCCTCCAGTACCTCTGGCTGTGTGCGGCCGTGTCAAGGGCCCGGTGCGGGGGGGTGGTACACACCCCTGTTTCTCGGTCCACCCACTCACAAACACCTCTCAGGCTCTTTCCTC